AAAGTGACAAATCCCTGCCCAGCAAAGGCCATTTTTTAAGAAAACAAGTTAAAAGTAGGTTCAAAGTAGAAAGATACACAACTTGGTACAAAACCTGGACAAAGAAATCAGGGAAGCTCAGACCAGACCCTCAGGCGGCAGAGAACCCGAGATGACTGAAGAAGCTAATGCAGCTCCACCAGAAGCGGTGTCAAGGTGATGGCAGGGTTTCCCGCGACCTCAGTCAGAGGCAGGTAAGCCACTGCATTCAAGCCGTAGAATAAGCGTTTTCATCCTTCATCCAATCCTTCCCCAAAGTGCTGTCAGGGGAAATCTGAACCGTCCAGCAGCAGAGATCTGAGAAAAGCGGTGGGGGGAGGAGAGACTGTTTCAAACACGCTCCCGAAGGGAGGGAGATACCAAAGAGAAAGAAGTTTTTGGAAAGAAGCCTGCACTGCGGGTGAGGAAGTGGCGAGAACGGGCGCTACTAGGAATGAGGGGGAGATAGGGGCAGCAGGAGGAAAGGGGACTGTGGGGATTGAGGAGGAGCAAGAAGAGAGCCTAGGGCAGTCAGCTGGGAGAGAATATGAGGGCAGAAGAACCGGGCTAGGGAACTGGAGACGAGCTGGGCTAAAGGACCAAGGGAGTCAAGGAGGCAGGGGAGGGCAGCAGCTCGGAGAGACCAGCGCTGAAAGAGAAAGAAAGTTGGCAAGGGCGAGGAGCCGGGCGCGAGGACCCAAGGGTGGAGAGGCACAGAGTTAGGCAGGAAGAGGGGTGTTCGAGCCCAGAGCCCGGGACTGGCCGAGTCCGCGCGGCGGGGAAGGGACGCGCAGGCGAGGGGCGCGGCAGGCAGGGTCTCTGCACGCCGGCGTCCTGGGGTCCCAAGAACACGGCGGGCGCCGGGGCAGAGCAGTAGAGTTTCCCGGCGGCGGTGGCCGCACCCGAGCACCCCCACCCCCGGCGACGGCTGCAGCTCTGCTCTTACCCGGGCTCGGTTCTCGAGAACGAACGGCGGCAGCGGCGGCAGCTGAGGGACGCGGACCGGGTCCTCTGGCCCCCACCCTCGTCCCCGCTCGCGACCGGCGCCACCCATTGGCTGCTGCGCCACGGGTCTGCGTCTACCTCGGCCAATCATCGCCGAGCAGCGCCGTTTGGAAACTTTCTTCCCAGGCCCGGGCGCGGCGCGGCCACGCGGCGGCCTGGGGCGGGAGGGGGTCTGGGAGGCTCAGGCGGCTGGGCAGGGACCGGGCCGGCCTTGGAGTCTGCAGGCTGTTCCCTGGACACGCTGGAGACGGGCTCGGACTTGTGGGCCATGTACTTAAAGAAAATGTGACTACCTCCCCTTGACACCGATTACATTTTCTCTACATGGGAGGGAAGGAATAAATCCAGCTTGGCTTAGGCTAATCAATGCCCCAGGTTCTTCCCACTACTTTACACCCAAAATAGAAATGTCATCATCTTCTTCAAAGGCAGCGAAACTTAGTGTATGAGAGTTTGGTTCTGAGCCTTGGCTTTGAATCCTAGCTCTGCTTCTTACTAGCTCTGTGATCTTGGGCAAGTTACTTAAACTTTCTATCACTTGTTTCCTCGTCCATAAAATGGGGCTCATGACAGGATTCTACCTCATACGTTATGCAGAGACTAAATGAGTTAACTTGGCATTTATAAAACTAGGACAGTGCCTAGCACATAGTTAAGTACATCTATGTATTAAGTGATCATGATTTATGGGTTATGTGTATCAGGCACAATGCTTTCTTGACATGGGTTTCTTATTTAACTCTCAGAGCAATCGTAATTGTTCAACAAATACTTGAACACTCGTGCTTAGAGGACAAATGTCAGACAAAATGCCTGTCTTCAAGGGGCTTCTAATAAGATACTAAACCAGCAAACAGGAGAAGTAAAATAATTCCAGATGCTAATAAGCACTATGAATAAAACAAAGTCATATGTCAGGGGCTGGGAAGAGGTCACTTCAGAAGGTAGAGGTGACAATGGAACTGCACCCTAGGTGATGAGAACCACAGAGAAGCATTTTTATTGCCCTCATTTTAAAGATGAGAAAACAAAGTTGCAGAAAATTAAAAGCATTGCCCAAGATCTTGCAATTAGTAAGAAATCAAGCTTCAAAGCTGGGTCTGTTTGACTGTTACACCCCAGTTCTTCAGCACCACGCTGGAGGCCGAGATCTCAGCTACTTTGAGGCCTCCAGCCACACCCACAGAATCTATCCTGCCTGCCTGGCATAGTTAAGAATAATCTTTCTCTAATTCTACTTTATTTCAACTCCTTGCTAGTTCCTGAAGATGTTCACAGAGACACAAAAGCAAACCCCACTACTTACATCAACAGGGTTAAAAAAAGTACCAAAATGTCTTTCAGGAAACTTCTGTCGTGGTTCCAAACACTAATAAATCATTCGTACCCTCCTGATACTTCTGCTCTGATGTTTTCTTTCACTCTCAAAATCTTATTTGACTCATCATTCTGTGAGGTTTCTGAGCAGGGAGTAATCACCCCAGTTTACAGATAAACTGAAGCACAAATCGATGAGGTTTCAGTCCTGACTAAATGGCACTGATCAAGTCATTTAAAGGAGTTTCCAACTGCTTTCATTTTCCACAAAGGGGGAGAATGTTGAAGTGATTATCATGAAAATCCACCTACCTCAAGAACAATTTAGGAAAATGGGTTGGTCATTGGGCAAAACATTAAAAATAAAAAGAAAATTTTGGTGTACTTTAAAACCTTTTCTTCTCTGTGTTTTCCTTGTAGCTTTCAGATATGAATGAGCAGAGAGCTCAGTTTCTCTTGCTATGTCCTTTGACCATAATTTATCATTTCAAAACACTGAACCTAACCTAGAAGTTGCTAGGGGAGAAATTTCTTTATTGGCAGCTAGGTTAACTTAGGAGCTGAGTCCAATGGAAAGTAGCTACTTAGCACAAAATTAAATCTCCATCCTGATTTCAGACAAGGAAAGAAATGACAGTGATTCTTACTGTCTGATAAAGGAGTTTTCCCAGCAAATAGGAATATGATTAACAGAGGCTATACCTAATATCTTTTTTTTTTTTTACCCAGAGATATTCTTTACCTTAATCTATCTTAAATGTTAAAGTACACTTTCACAAATATCAAATTATATTTCTATTCATAATTGCTTCCAAGAGCTGGTGTACTCTGCTTAGGCTAATTTTCTACAGAAAACAATAAAATTGCACTTCTTTTTAAAAATTATTTGTCGATCAGACTTTTCATTTGCTTTCCATTTAGTACGACTGGTTCGTTTTTATTTACTGCATTTAACCTGTTGAGAGTAGGTACAGCTCTAGACTTGAAAGAATGACAAGCAAAGTCAAATAAAATGTGTCTGTTCTTTATTATGTTTCATGGCTAGAAACTTTCTTTTTACAGCAATTAAAAATCCAGAATTACTTTCCTTTTTTACATTTTTAGTTAATATAGTCTCTGTTGAGATACTCAGCTAGAATAAAAAAGAGAAAGAAAAACATTTCTAAAAAGAAGCATATTTGCTTGGTACTTTGAAAAGGAAAAAAAAAACGTTTAGAAACATTTTTTTTCATCTAATTCACACTTGGAAAAATAATACCTATATGCAGACACGCAAAGAAAGAGCTACTCAGTAGTAATAAATACCTAAGCAGGCGATGATGTGTGTACTTGTCATCTGCCTTCTGGAAAATGAAATACAAGCCCAAGGATTCTTCAGCTGCATGTTTGATCTTGCCCTCTACAATATATGTCTACAAGGATGTCTACAGGGATGTATTAGCTTCCCCTGACATTTCCCCCCACTTAATGCAAATTGTCTAATGAAATTGCCTCACACGGCAGACATCAAGGGGAAAAAAGTTCTCTTTGGGCAATTTCTCCTTAGTGATTTTTCTGCAAAGTTAATCTGCTTTCTGGGGAAACTTCATAAGTAAACTCTTAGGTAGTATTTAGCTAGCACATCCTAAACTATGTCTAGATTTCAATGTTTTTTCTCCTAATTTGCAACAGGAAATAGCAGCTGGCAGTTTCAGATATGATCATTGGTCTGAGTTAAAAAAAATTTAACCTCAGGTAAAAGTAGATTATGAGGTTAAAAAAAAAAGCCAACCTCTTTCCCCCTCCGTCCCCCCAACCAAACATGGCGTATCTGTACATCTACGACACAAGCTGTTACTGGCTTCACAAGGCTTTTGGCTCGCCCAACCTGCTGTCACTGTTAAAATTGTATTCATTTGCAACGAGTTCTGCACCCGGGCTTGAAAAAATCACGTTTTCTTGCTAAAGTCACGAGGACTTAATTGTTGATGGCAACATCCAGCCTAGTTTTGGCACACACTGTATTTTCCCCAGCTGGGTCGCAACTTTTCGAGAAACCCGCCGGCCCGCGCGAGCTGGCGGAAGCCCAGTCGGCATTATTTTTTTCCCACTCGCCACTAGGTTGCACTAGATTAAGGATGCAGTGGAAAACATGCGTCATTTAATTTTCTTTTAAATAAGTAGGACCGTCACGTGACCTGAGGGAGCGCGGGGGAGAGAAAACCAGAATCATCAGGTTTTTCGACGAAATCCGGTTAAAACGCCTTCCCTCGAAAGATCAAAAGTGCAGAATTGTTATCAAATCCCAGTTATCAAGTTTTTATTCCCCGGTTCCACCTCACAGGCTCCCTAATTCTCCGCTTTTAGATTCCTTTCCACTCCACAACGATAAGCCAGGGAGAAGGCCTCCTTAAACTAGGGATTTTCGTAAAAAAAGCCGGGGTCACCCCCTGGGAAGCTCCCTATTTAGGGGTTTATCGGGAGGGGACTGAGCCTGACGAGGCTGCAGGGCCGCGAGGCCCCGCCCCCCCCAGATTCCCAGCACGCCTCGCGCGGAGAGGATGCGGCGCCGGGGGAGGGACGAAGGAAGGGGCGGAGCGAGGGGAGAGAGAAGGGCGTCGGTTTTGCGACAGGGGCGACGCGGTGCGGAAGCGGAAGTGGAGGGTGCGCTTGGCGGCGGCGGCGGGAGCTGCGGAGTCGGGAATCAAAACAAAGGGCCTGGGGGGGCGGGGGGAAGGCGGCGGGGCCGAAATGTGAGCGCAGGTGGAGCAGGCGGTTGGAGGTGAGTTTGCTGTAGCGCTGGGAACTAGTCCCTGACGGGCCCGCTGCTTTGGGGCCACCAGGCTGGAGGAAGGACAGTGTCTCCTCTTCCCCTGTCTATTGCTGGCCGGGGTGGGGGAGGTTGGCTAGTCTGAGGGGAAGGGCTGGGACCCACTAGTCAGGCCCTCACTAAAGGTTCGGGTCGTCTCCCGTTCAGGTTCGTTCATAACTGTCATTGCTGCGCCGCTGCTGCCGTTTGTGGGTGTTTGGCCCCCCGCCCACGTCTTATCTCCCTGCTCCCTGTGGGGGCTTCCAGGTGTGGAGAGCAACTTTTCCAGAGCTGTGCACACTTGGAAGATTAAGATGGGCAGAAAGGGACAGGTGTTTTTACACCCACCCCCCACCCCGCCCTCGGCCAAGTCTTTTGCATCCTCCTCTGTCTTCCAACACTCCCTTGGGTGTAGCCTTCGGTTTGACCGAAAGCTTTGAGTTGCCTTAGGGCTTGAGCCACTCCTACTAACCGTAACGCGACACCGTGCTACACCTTTCGGAGTTTCCTAAGCACCTTTCTGATTACCAACAGTTTTACAATTAAATTTGTCTTTTGGACTTGCATCATCTCTGAGCGGTATTCTGAGTTGCATAAAGGAAGATTGAAACCTGAACGGTCCTCCTAGACATTTTATTGAACTCTTCATTTGTTCCACAGTTACTAATTTGTGCCTAACACTGCTAGGTGGGGGAGATATAATAATAAGAAAACATGATTCCCTACTGTCACGACGGAGTTTATATTTAAGTGGGGGACACAGATAATTTAAAAAAGCAAGCAATACACAGTATAATTTTAAATAGAAGAGCTATTTAAAAAACAGTAATGGGATGCCGTGGTGTGGGAGTTGAGGACTAGATTGGGTGTTAAGAGAAGGCCATTGCTAAGTTTTTTACTTTGATTTGGTCTCACTGAATCCAAACAACAGCTCTATGAGGGTGCTATTATTATTATCAGGCCTATTTTACAGATGGGATCTGAGGTTCACAGAGGTTGTGAGTTGTGCAAAGTGGCACAGATAGGAAGTTGCAGAGGTGGGGATTAATACACAGACTGATGTCAATAGTTACTGCTCTCAACCACTATCTGTATTGCTCAAAGACAGAGAGAATGGCAGAATTGAGACTCCCTCCCACTCAAAGCAAACAGAACTTGCTTTGGCTGCCTAAGTTAGTTAGTGGCATTCCCAGGATTGGGAAAACTACTGCGTGCAGGCTACTAACAAGCTAATATGTTTGTACTTTCTGTTGCTTGTGTTGAGCAATACTGAAGACACTGTTGGTGTGGTGGAAGAAGGTAGATAAGCCTGGTTCTGCCCCCTTTCTAATTGTGTGATCTTGGGCACATTACATAACTTCATTAAACTTCTGTTTCCTCCTCTGTAAAATGTGGCTAATTTCTCAGTTGTCTTATCTCACAGATTTACTGTGGGGGAAAAAGTTACATGAATGGATTTCATTGGTTGTTTTTATCATTGTATCCTTTGTGCCAAGCACAGGCTTGCTACATAGTAGATACTAAGTAAATATTTGCTGAATGAGGGAATCAATAATGTTAAATAAGAATGTTTTGTAAACTATATTAAATTCTATATGTTAGCTCACTTCAGGATTGGCCTTGAAGAGGTTTGAGAGAGCACCCTTGAAGTCATGTGTCATGAACATCACAAATTCTATGATCTAGAGATGTCAATGGGGATGTATTTAATAGGAAAAACAAGTACCATAATTTTCTGTTATTGTGGCAGTGAACTCCATCTGTGTCCCCATATTAACTCCTGATTGCATGTACTGGGTAAACAGCTGCTTTATTCATTCCTTCATTCAACAAATGCTTACTTAGTGTATACTATGTAGTAGGCCCCAGGTTGGCGCAAGCAGTACAATGGTGAAAACAAGCTGGTGGGATCCTTTAATGCTTTTCTCCCTCAGTAATGCTGTGAGGTGAACAGGGGAGAAATTAGTCACACTTTACAGAGGAAGAAACCAAAACTTAATGAAGTTTTGTAGCTTCGACTTAAGAGCCAAATAGTAAATATTTTAGGCTCTGTTGGCCATTCGATCTTGGTTGCAAATACTCTTCAATTGCAGTGCAAAAACAGCCATAGACAGTACTTATACAAATGAGTGTGGCTCTGACTCAGTGTAACTTTGGACATGGGAATTTAAATTTCATAGAATTTTGTGTCACAACATATTATTATTATTTTGTTTTTTACCCCAAGAATTTAAAAATAAAAAATTCATTCTCAGTTTGAAGGCCATTTAAATACAAGCAGTGAGGCAGATTTGGGCTGGCAAGCCATAGTGTGCCTATCCCTGCTTTACGTGATCAATTCTCCTGTACCTTAGATGAATACTTAAAGCCTCTTGAAAGAGCAGGTTATCAGAGATAGCTAAAGAAATTGTTTTCTATATACCCAGATGAAATTTCTGAAAGATAAATTAATGACCTTAAAATGACTGCTGTAGGTAATGGTTGTTGGATATGATGATGAGAGCTTGGAAATGAGGTCCAGTTGTCCTTCCCACTGCCTCCATGCCCAATGGTTGTTACTGGTTTGATCTGTTTTTATTGCATTGTTTAAGTCTTGTAGGAATGTTGTTGCACTGGAGTAGATACAGCCCATCTGTGACTTGATATTTCTCTGTAAGATTTTTGGTGGTGGATCAGATTGCACTTCCATAATAAGTAAACTCAGACATTGGTTCGATTTGTAGCAGACTCAAATTCAAAGTCCGCAGAGATCACTTAATTTGGACTTTCCAAAGTCACAGTGGAGATAGGTTACATTTAAATCAATTTCAAAATCTTACATAATTGGTCATGATGATATGTGGTTATTCTTTTACTAAAATTGCATATTCTCTTCTGTTAAATTTTTGACCGTCACAGGTAGAGCCTTTAGGGAGAGAGAGTTGAGAAGAATTAAGAAAAACTATAGAAAGAGTCTACTCAGGGCCAGAGGAGGTTGGCTTCAGCCAAGTAAAGAGGTTTCACTCAGGAATATGCAGGTGTCCAGGATTTGGCTACTTCTGTCAAGCATGACTGTTAATGGGAAAGAAAGTGGTCTCATCCAGAGTTTGTTTTTCTTTGAAAGGCTATGGAGCATGAAGAATGGAAGATGATAGATTTAAAAAAAATCAGATTGATACAGCTAGAGTACAAGCAAAAAGCAGTCAACCAAGTTTACCAAATTTTTGTAACCTGTAACATGAATTCATAGCCATTCCGCTTTTGTTTCTTAAGATCTGACTTTTTGAGAACCATTGTACTGTAAATACAATTGCAGTCTCACATTTTAATACTAATTTGTGCTTATGCAAATAAACAACATTGAAATCTCTTTCTTAACAGGGTGGAAGAATGAAAGAAAAGAAAGATGAAAGAATGTTGAACCATTTTGTATGGCCGTATGATGGAAGGGAACGGAACGGAGAACTCCTTTAGTAGAACACTTGGATGGCTTCAACAAAATAATGATGCTAAGCCATGGCTCTGGAAATTTTCTAATTGCTTTTCTCGTCCTGAGCAGACATTGCCACTTAGTCCCCAAACGGTAACTACGTGCAAGACTAAGGACATAGCAAATTTATGCAAATAGATGAGAGTTCCATTCATTCTGGAACTGTCTCTCCCCCTAGAGTCTGTGCTCAGTTTTTCTCTGGTATCCTGCTTGTCCGACTCCTTGTAGCCCATTATTATAATTCCTGACTCAATAAGATCATAATTTTTTAACTCCTGTGTTTCTACCCTAAGTAAGAATAGGTGATGTAAATATTTAGTGTTAACATTTGGGGAAGATTTGTTTTTCATTGAAGTCACAGATGCCAAGGATAAAATCCACATTGGGCAGTATTATCAGAGGAAAGTACAAAATAGATTTTATTTTACTGTACCCTTCTGAGTTTTGAGTCTTAATAATAGGGATAGATTGATAGAACCTTATTGATAGCCTTTGCTGTTGAAGGTTTCTCTTGAATATTTCAGTATGTCTGTAACTCCTTTTGTTTATTCTTAGTGATTCTGACTTCTGATTTTATTTCATTCATCATGTTACTACCTCTTTTGTTTTTAGCTCCTGCACTTGGGATTTAAATGAGACTTTATGAATTTATAATGATAACTTTTTAAAAATTCAGTTAAATTCCCTGTCTTCTCCAGGTTTTCATTAGTTACCTTTGTTGTATGGCATCAGTAATTGGGGTCATTTCAGAGGTGTTTAAGGACAGTTGGCAGTGAGGGTTGGCAGCTCAAGCAGAACCTTATGGGATAGCATATCTGGCCCTCGTGGAATCACACAGCACAGAATTGCATTCTCAGCTTGACAGATCCGAAACTTTAAATTGTCAGTGGTACCAAGAATTGGTTACATTCAGGGGGACCAACTTATAATAACCCATAAAAGCCAGATCTATATAGATGAGAATGCCTATGAGTCAATTTCCAGCCTGAATTATAATTATGAGAGAGAGAGCAGAATACATTGCTTGTTGGTTGGTCAGTCCATTGCTATTACCTCCCTTTTAGGAAAAATCGAACTAAAAATCCCAATCCCTCCCAAATGAGGGTACCCTCCTGGGTGCTTGTAGAAACACAGCAGAAGGAGTGACATTGTGGCAGTCATACGGACCTGCCATGCTCTGAGGGATGAGCATGCTTAAATCACCATATCAGGGCATCCTCGTCATCTGCATAGTTCCTGTAATCAGCCAGGAAAGGCCGTGGACTAGTTCCCCTTTCAGTGGCCAGGTGGCTCTGCTGAGTGTTTTATATGCACTATCTCATTTTATCCCTCTAACAACTATAAGAGGTACATTGTCTTGTTCCCAGGGGAAGGAGGAGGAAGCTGAAGTGTAGAGAGGTTGAGTGACTTACCTAAGATCATGAAACGACTGAGAATCACGAGCAAACCTAGGTCTCTGGCCAATGCCCTGCTATCACCTTATAAATATACTGGCCTCATGTATCTATGTTGGAGGCATATGACAAACTATTCCTCTTTTTTCCAAGATAGTTTTCTAATTACTGTCATTGTTTTCACCGGCTACAAAATAACTATTGCCATTATGGCTTTCAGACATGATATCCTAGTTTTGCTAAATGTCATCAGCAGCACATTTAAGACCTTTCCACAGATGGGCCACTTGGGCAGATTGCTGACCTCATCCATAATGTTTGGAATCTTCTTTTGTGGATGACCTGATAGTCTGACTGCAAGAACGATTAAGTATTTTCCTCAAAGCACTTTGCTTGTAAGCTGTCTTTATTGATTGCCGTTGGTGACTGTGTTGTTTTCATACTACCTATGTTGTCTTCAGACACTCTGAGGCAAAGGGAAGTTATCAGAGGGAAGTCAGCGAGACAGATGGTTAACCTGGCCCATAGAAGACATAAACAGACCCTCCCCCTCCACCCATCTCTTAAAATTCAGGAAGGGCACAGTCTTAATTTTAGTTTTGATGTTCACCTCCTGCATATGTCTGAAGAAGTTCTTAGTCTTAGCTGCCATTTCATTTTGTTTGGTTATGCCTGAGTGATGTAAACAGGATTGAACACTTTTCATTTCTGAATGCAATAGGAGGTGAGTAACCAAAAATCACTGGCCTCAAAAAATTAACTTGTGTTCTGATTTTCTTTTCTCAGAAAGATTACATGGAGAACAAGAAAGTTGCTTTGGAACTCAAGGATGTACCATCTCCCCTTCATGCTGGCTCTAAACTTTTTCCAGCAGTCCCTCTTCCAGATATTCATTCTCTTCAGCAACCCAAATTACAGCTTTCAGCTGTCCCCAAAGTAAGCTGCTGCGCTCATTGCACTAATGAACCCTCCACTTCGCCAATGCATTGTGGTGGTGGCGGTGGCGGTGGCCGAGGTGCTGGTAGCTTGATTCACACGGGCGCACTGTTAGATTCGCAGAGCACCAGGACAATCACGTGTCAGGTAGGGTCAGGGTTTCCCTTCCAGTCTGCATCTTCACTCCAGAATGCCTCAGCTAGGAACAACTTGGCCGGCATTGCAAGTGACTTTCCCAGCATGTGTCTAGAAAGTAATCTCTCCTCCTGCAAACACCTGCCCTGTTGTGGAAAGCTCCATTTCCAGTCATGTCATAGTAATGTGCACAAGCTGCATCAGTTTCCAGCTCTCCAGGGCTGCACCTCCGCTGGCTATTTCCCCTGTTCTGATTTCACAAGTGGGGCTCCAGGGCATTTGGAAGAGCACATTTCACAGTCGGAGCTAACGCCTCACCTGTGCACCAACTCTTTGCACCTAAATGTGGTTCCTCCGGTTTGTTTAAAGGGCTCACTTTACTGCGAAGACTGTCTAAACAAGGTTTGTATTTTTTTATTTGTTATGGTGGGTGCAGCTGAGGTTTGAGGACTGATTTTTTTTTAAGTGGTTTTATCTTGAAAAATCTTTATGGTGCATGGAGTTGAAGATACTTCCATAATGTAGCTTGCTCCCCAGCTGCATAACATCTGCTGGTCCTGGAAAAGGTGAAGGGTAAAATGAGAGGGACCATTAAAAGAAGTACAGTGTAATTATTTACGTAGTTTATGCTCTTACAGCCTCTTATAATCTACTTCGTCTAAACCTAGATCTGCAAAGCCTTGTGTTGTGTTTTGTCTTAAAGGCTAGAGCACAATTGTGACTTCTTAAAACACCTTATACATGGACCCATTCCTGTAATATGGGTAACTGCATGTTGTCCTGTAATAATTTGGGGAGCTTGAAACTTGTCCTCAGTCACACTGGTGCTCAAATAGAGACTTTAATTTTTATGTAAAGTGTGTCTCTGTCTCCATTGCGGCAGACACATGCCCCAGAATATAAAAGGCTGATCATGTGAACAGCTTCCCTCATGATTTCAAATAACTTCTTGAAGTGAGTTTAGGAACTGACAGGTAATAGTTCTGGGAAAGAGGTTTTAAAAATACATTTTAACAGAGATTACAGGTGGAAAGGAGAAACACTTAGAATGTGTCTTCAGTTGTTTATAACTCTAGGTTCTATAATGTTGTATCTGAAACCTCCTTTTTTCAAAAACATTTTTAAAACAGCCGGCAAGAAATAGTATAATTGATGCTGCTAAAGTCTGGCCAAATATACCACCTCCAAATACACAAACTGCACCTGTTACTATTCCTCTGTGTAATGGCTGTGGAACCAAAGGAACAGGGAAGGAGACCACGTTGTTACTGGCAACCAGTCTAGGCAAAGCTGCTTCAAAATTTGGTAAATGACAGCATGGTATAAAATGTGCATATTTAAATAATTTTCAATATCTAATACTAACACTGCATTTAATCACCTTTAAAAGATTCCTTGTGGTTCTAAAGCTATTGTGTATGTGAGTCTCCATTTCCATACCTTGGTAAAAATTTGTTTATTCTTATAGACCAATAAATCATTTACCCTTTGAGGCTATTTGAGATCAGGAGCTGTGTATAGAAAACCGGGGGGAGTATATTAGAAATGTTGGAGAGGACTTGGCGTCAACTTAGGTTCATAATCACACTTGTTAATTGTATACTCCCTGGAAGCACTTAATATTTAGAAAGATTTAGTAATGGCTGATGAAAAACACTTTGAAAACCTAAGATCAATTCCCCAAAAAGTAGTGAATGTGGTATTTTGTCTTCTGAAAACAGTTTTTAAAATATTAAATGAGCTCTTACTGGAGCACTGAAAATCATTGAAAATCAAGGACAGTAATAACTTCACCCTTTGTTGCCTTTTCCTTGCTCTCCCATCCTGAGAGCATGAAAGTAAGGTCCCAGAGCTGCAGTGTCCATTCACCTACTCGTTAATGTTCAGAGAAGCAAAACTGGTTAGCATGAGAATGGCTCGTACTTTGCAATGGATTTATTGTGGGCTTTAAGTACCTTTGCCTTCAGATTTGTTCTGAGGAGACATTATGACAACTTGGGATTTTTTTGTCATATTAGGTCAACCAGTGAGGTTGGTATCCTTAAACTTAACATCAATCAATAATTTCATTTTTCTGCCACAAAGGATGATAGGTAGCTACCTGTTTTATTTTAATCTGCCATTTCTTTTTCACTTTATGTAATTGAAAATTTACGGTTTTTTTAAGGGTCACCCGAAATTGCACTAGCCGGACAGGTGCTAGAGAACTTACCCCCCATTGGAGTTTTTTGGGATATTGAAAACTGCTCAGTTCCCTCTGGCCGCTCAGCTACTGCTGTTGTACAGAGACTCCGTGAGAAGTTTTTTAAAGGCCATAGAGAAGCAGAATTCATCTGTGTGTGTGACATCAGTAAAGAAAACAAGGAAGTTATTCAAGAGCTGAATAATTGCCAGGTTAAAAAAACATTTTTTACTCTATTATGGTAGAAGAATAAGCACACGTGATTTTTTTAAAAAGAATTTTGATTCATGTTTAATAATGTGCATTTGTGCTAAGTTTGCAAATAAAGGAAATTAAGATGATTTCTAAAGTATTAATAATCATTTAATTGCATCTGATCTTTCAGTAATGCTATTTATGTGATTGTGCTAGACTAGTATTATCATTCCATGTGTCATTTCCTTTGATTTTTATAATTGCTTTGTGAACAAGGCTCATAGGATTTATTACTTGAAATTTACAAATGAAACTGAGGCACCAGGAGATTAAACAACTTTTTTGAGGTCACATGGCCGGTAAATAGATGAGCTAGATTTAAATGACCCCAAAGTCTGTTACGCTGGAACTAGAATCAAGTTCTTTTGACTCTTAGACAAATAATTCCATTGATACGCCATGTTGCTGCCTAAAATTACATATTTATGTTACTTACAAAAACTAATAAATCCTATTATATATTGCATGTAGTTGAGGCACCTCTCAAAACAAACCATTCCTTGCTTTGGAGATGGTTACATGTGAGCCTGATAGTTTTAAGAGGAATTATCACAATTCAGCTCCCGTAGGGGCAGATGCCTTTCTTTCTGCGCCACCTAACCCCAGACCCTGAAAGCCATAGGTGATGTATAGCATAGACAAATGACATCAAATACAGCCCAAATCTTACCTTAATCATCTGTCAGATCTCTGCCACTCCCAAATTGTTGGCCAAAGCTATTAGAGCTTATTTTACTACAAATTTCACTTCCTTTTTTTTTTTTTTTACCTATTTTCTGAAAGGGAAATGGATGAAATAGAAAAGCAGAAAGTCAGTTGAGAGCAGGGGTAATAATGGATCCAGTTAATTCGTGTGGATTATCCTTCAGTTTATTTGAAGTGATTGCTTTCTGGTTATGACAGTTTTTCTCCTTGAGAACTACCTATTTAAAAGATGTAGGCAGCATGCATAATGATTTTCTAACCTCATCTCTTGCTCATTTGTCCTTATTATAAATTAATGCAGGTAACTGTTGCCCACATCAATGCTACTGCAAAAAATGCCGCTGATGATAAACTCCGCCAGAGTCTCCGAAGGTTTGCAAATACCCACACTGCTCCAGCCACTGTGGTTCTTGTGTCAAGTAAGTGTAGAAACACCTGCTAATTTCAGCTAAACTCACTTTGTGGGAATTATCAGAGAAGCCAAAACATGTTGAAGTAAAATGTGCCTCCACAGAGGATGAAATATGTAGGACATATTTATACTTATCTCAGAGAACTGTTCAGAAAAAAAATGGATGAGTCTACGCAGATTTCTGTATTTTCTCATTTGAACCCAAGTAAGGATTCTTGTAAGGCCAGGTTTATTTTAAAAAATGTTAAATTCCCCCCAGGGGGCCCAGTATTGTTAATTTAAAAAATCCAAGATGAATAATTTCCAAAGTTGGAAGCTCTCCAGAATGTTAGTATTTGCTCCCTTTTACTACTGGAATAATGTGTCTTGGGATTCAGTGTAGATTATGTGGTAAAATCGTCTTACTGTGTAAATTCTGCTATGAAATGTGTTTCTATTCTAGGAGGATGGGAAGCGACTTTGAATACAATCCAGTTCTTCTTGGGGTGGGGGATGTGGGGTGGTCAGTGGAGTTGTCCATCTCTGTCAAGTGTTTCTAATATTTGGGGGTGGGCTCCACCTTTTCTTTCAGCTGATGTCAATTTTGCATTGGAACTCAGTGACCTGAGACACAGGCATGGTTTCCATATAATTTTGGTCCATAAAAACCAGGCCTCAGAAGCACTGCTACATCATGCTAACGAGCTGATCAGATTTGAAGAGTTCATATCAGACTTGCCCCCCAGGTTACCACTAAAAATGCCAGTAAGTGGATTTGCATTCTTTTTACTGTATACCAGAGTTAGATTATGGAGGCTGAAAGACAGACTTCTCAGGGGTGTCACTAAGCCCAGGTGAGGATGTTCTTTGGAGGAGCCTGGCCAGATGTGAAATAAGACTTAGAAACATTCACTTCTTCTCTTAAATGAAGAACCGATAGGTGTGAATTTTGCTTTTATTTTTTCAAAATATAATAGGAAATTGAATTTTAGATTTATCTTACTAACAGCCACTTGTCAGTGTCTCCAAAGCTAGCAGTGTTCTGTGTCAGGTCGGTAGAAGCAATAGAATAAGAATTATTACTCTTCTTGCTTCCTGGTATTATGGATAAAGAACTGGTGATAGTTTGCACCACACTCATGTGGTTGTGATTAAATTAACAGTAATTGTATACTCTAGGCATTACTTTAGCTCCCTGTGTTTTCTCTCATTGCCTTCCCCGTTGTGCACATGCACAATTAGTGGTTATTGCTACACCTGTAGTCTGTTAAGCCACATGCCAGGAGAACGTGAGCATATTTTCAGCAGGTTGAGCATTTCTGAGTCTTGATTCGGGCTGAGCTGTGTTTAAGCTGTTTGGAGAATAAATCTAAAATTCTTAAAGAAATAGTAATCATTATGGGGAGGAGCTGTAGTGTGGATGATCCAGAAAAGTGGGTAGTCCCATACGTTAACTGAAGTTTTAACATAATTTGGTAATTTTAGAGTTACAGAAGAACCTTAGAAGTGATCTCATCCAACATCCTCATTTTAGGGAGCAGGAAATCAGCACTTAGGAAAAGTAGGCAAGTCCTTGGAGGTCACATAGCTTGATGACAGCAGAGCAATTACTGGCCTGTTCTCCCAAGTCAAGCACTTGAGCGCCAATCCCACTGTATGCCCTGATACCCAACAAGCCCAGAGTGTGGCCCAAGGTTGAACACATGCTAAAGATAATCTACAGTTGGGGATAGCAGAGTCTGGCTCAATTTCCTCCCTTCTTCTTCTTGGTACTCACTTTTCTAATTCTATGGCTTTTAGGTGAAATGTAGTATTTTAGTTAAGCGATTGCCTGCTTTGGAGATCTTTATTCCTTGTGGTAATTAAAAAAAGAAAAAGGACGTATTTCACAAGTCTTGCCTAATATTTTTGTAATTCACTGGAGTGGTAATTAAAATACATTTCTATTTTCCTGTGTTGTTCAGTCTGTCTCTTAAATTTTAATAAATTAAACATTAATACTGCCTGGGTTTTGATTTGTGGGTATAATAGGAAGAGTGTAGATTTTGTTGATGATTAGCTGATGTCCCTCAGATAAAAAGAAAAGCCTCTAATTGGAAAGTAATATGTTCATTATTTTAAAAAAATACATATTCACAGATGTGGATTATGAAAACCTCGCAATCCTACCCTCTAGAAGTAACTTCTGTTAACAGTTTGGTATTGCCCTCCAAGTTTTGAAAAGGTATTAAAAAAAATAGTGTTACATATATTGTATTTTATGGCTTTTTAAAAATAACAGTGTCATAGCTTAGATGCATTTCCTTGGCAATACATGTTAATATAAAACTACCTCATTTTAAAAACTGGAAGAATGTTGGTTTGAAACATATTGTGTGGCTGGTCTTAAGTTTATTCAACCAGGCTGCCTATTACTGGACTTTTTTTTATACCCAGTTTTCCCCCCATCTCCATCAAGGTAACCCATGTCTTTTCTGGACTCCTAAGCTAATCGTTTGTAGGATAAATTCCAAGGTATGAAAGTTCTGAGTCACAATTTGCAAGCTAGATCCAAGTGGTCTTCTAGGAAGCTATACTAATTTACATTCTTACCAACAATAAATGAGAGTGTTGTAAATATTTGCCAGTCTGATAGTTGAAAATGGTAATTTGTTTATGGTTGGTCTTTTTATTAATCATTTGCAGAGTTGCAAAATATCCTTTTTACTGTTGTTGGCTCTTGATGTTTCTGTAAATTGTTCATGTACTTTACCTTTTTTTAGTGACTTCTTTTATGGCTTCTGGATTTAACCCTCTCCATAATTATCTTGTTTTCTTCAGGTACTTTAATGGCTTTACTTCCTAATACATTAATTTCAGTTCATGTAGAAAGGTTAGCACCACCCACTGCCAAATAGAACTGCCAGGCTCACTAGGGACAACCTGCTATTCTACCTGGACAGGTGCTAACTTTATAATATATTATTCAACAGCCCTGCTCAGTAAAATATACTCTTTAAAAACAACTTCATTGAAGTATGGTTGATATAACACAAGATTCACCTCTTCTAAGTGTATGGTTGCATGTTTTTTAGTAAATTCACTGAGTTGTGCAAGCAGTTTTAGATCATCAGGCCAGTGTATACCCATCCCTACCCACAGGCAACCACTGTCTTTCTGTGTCTACAGTTTTGCCCTTTCTGGACATTGTACAGAAACAGAATCATAGAATATATGGACATTTCTGCCCAGCATATTCTTTAAAAATGGCATTCAGTTACCTTGTCTGCACTAAATAGTTACTCTGTCCTGTCTAAATCACCATTACCTCCCCCGGAAGGTCGTTAGCTTAAGTTTGGAGATACGCACTGTTCTCCTGATTGTGTAATTGAATGTATGCCCTTGAGTTAACCTGTTGTGACACTTTTCCTCTGTATCAGCAGTGCCACACTCTGCTCTATGTTTATAACCTACCAGCAAATAAAGATGGCAAGAGCATCAGCAACAGGCTCAGACGCCTGTCCGATAATTGTGGTGGGAAAGTGCTGAGTATCACAGGCTGCAGTGCGATTCTCCGCTTCATAAACCAAGATAGTGCAGAACGGGCTCAGAAGCGAATGGAAAATGAAGATGTCTTTGGTAATAGGATCATTGTGTCATTTACTCCAAAAACTAGAGAACTCTGTGAAGCAAAGGGTTCAAATGCAATTACTGATAAAGTGAAGTCTCCCAAAAAACTTAAGAATCCAAAACTGTGCCTCATCAAAGATACAAGTGAACAATCTTCCAGTGCCAAAGCCACTCCTGGGAAAGGGTCACAGGCAAATTCTGGATCTGCTTCAAAAAACTCAAATGTTAAAAGTTTACAGGTAATTTTGATACCTCTTGCTTTCTGAAATTTATGGTAGGTTTGGTTTATTCCTCTGTTTTATATGCCCACTTGGTTTTGGTGCATCTTTTTTTATTCCCATTTCTACTATTAGTGAAAGTCAAGTGTTTCTATACAGGGCCTAACACATCTTGGGTACTTGATGTTGTGAACTCCACTGCACTTGTCTCTTTAAAGGAGCTGTGCCGCCTGGAGTCAAAGACTGGTACGAGAAACAGTGACTCCCAGCATGGTAACCTGAGGCTGGTCGCACCTCCTCACAGGAACTCCAGTGCTGCAGCGCCCACGCTTAAAAACCTGGGGATGGCAGAGTCCGTTTACAAAACCAATCTGAAGTAGGTTCCATTACGCTTTCTCATAGTTGCTTGTCCAATGTGAAGGCAAACAAATGATCTCTTCCCTTGAATTTTCCCCGTCAGAAAAGAGAACCTCAGTGCCCGAAGTGTTACCAGTTCTCCTGTAGAGAAAAAAGATAAAGAGGAGACACTGTTCCAAGTGAGTTACCCGTCTGCTTTCAGCAAGTTAATTGCATCAAGGCAAGTCGGTCCCCTGCTCACATCTCAGTCTTGGTCTTTGCGGTAAGTTCAGGCTCTTGATCTGTAGGGTGCCTACAAGAAATAGAAGGGATTTGAAATCATATGTTTGTTTAAAAGAATCCAAGCAACACAGAGCCACATAAAGTTAAAGGCCGGTCTCCTCTTCTTCCTCCACCAGTCCCCTCGTCCTCAGGTAGCCATAGCTAACATTCGGGAGCAGTGCTTCTCACCATGGGAAGTGTGGTAAGCAGAGGTCAGGGGAGAAGCTGTCCTGGAGTCCCTGGCACATGATGGAAACACATAAGGATGTCTTCCTGTTTCCTCATCACTTTGTCATGTTGAGGAAGAAGCCCAAACTAGACATGCAAGGATTAATCTTATTCATAGGGTGATGAGAGGAAGCTCTGAGAAGTAAGGGTCTCTGCAAACCACTGTAATTACCTGTGTGAGACCTTGTCTAAACTTTCTACACTCAAGCTGAGTACGGCCACGTTGCCTCCCATTAGCTCATTCTAGCATTTGTTCTGCTGAGTCAGTGAAGGCTGCCTATAGAGTATGACTTTGGACCTGTAAAATAACATTTTAAAATTCACATGGAGGTCTGTAACATATGAGCAAAGATAACCTTGCTTTTTAAGACCCAGGGGAGGTTAAATGATTTACATTAGTATCACAATCCAATTTCTAAGAGTAAATGCCCAAAGTGGAAAATTCACCAGGCCTGCCTATAATTTCTGCCCTTAGCAATAAATAATTTAGTGAAAGAATATTTGATATTTAATGATTTACCAGTTATTAATAAGGAGTCATCAACAGATAGTAGTTTCGATAACTCTAAAAATAAGTATGTGTTTAAGAGAAAAGCACATTTGAAAACCAAATGTCTAGTTGGTTATATTGTGGAAAGCTACTTCTATATAAAGCTTCAAACAAGGTTTAATGATAATAAATAAATAGATTAATAGTTTTTAAAAAATCTCAGTATGTATGTTTTAAGCAGGAGTGTGTCTCCAAACCTTTTGAACAGAACATCCCCACTTGCTTTCAACATTGCAAATTCGAGTATTGGTGCCGACTGCCCAGACCCCTTTGCAAATGGTGCCGACATCCAGATCAGCAACATAGACTACAGATTATCGCGAAAGGAGCTGCAGCAGCTCATGCAAGAAGCATTTTCTAGGCATGGCAAGGTAACCTCTGCACTCTTGTTCTTGCATTTGTTTTACCCTTTGCTATTTGTTTGTTTCAAGTTGAGAGAACTTAATTCAACACACATAACCACAGGCAGGATGTAAGTGTTACTGGCCAAGTTTGATCTTCCTTTATCCTCTGGTCTGCTTGTGGTGGTGCTGTACATCCAGTTTTTAGGTCACAGCCCCAGAACAAGAAACCTAGCAGAGAAGCACTGTGGTCATGGGCAGGGATTTAAATGGCACTTCGGGAAATAAAATTCTGGTGGATTTCAGTTAGCTCTGGCTGTCAAAATACAGAATTAGGATTCTAAAATAATATTGCCTGTTTTTGTTACTATCTTATACATATTTGATTCAGTTTTTTGGTGCAGCATACTAAAAATGCACCTTTTCCAGATTTTTTAAATGGTTATATGCCCCTGTGTTTGCAGGGTCTGGGGAAGACCCCAAAGACTCTTCACAAATGTTGGCCCCTGAATCTGCATCAGTGTGTATGCCAGAGCATTCAGGCTGGGCCACTTTAATGTTCCAAGGTCACCTATCCTAGCTCACTTAAGTTTTGCTCTGCAGAAATGCAGTTCAGGACAAATTTCTTACAGAAGCATTAAAGTCTACAAATGTGCTCCTTAATGAATCACCTTTAGTTTTAAGATGGCAAGGTTTGGGTAGACACTGCATTCTGTTTTCCTTTTTACTGCCGTAGGTGAAGAGTGTGGAGCTCAGTCCCCATACAGATTATCAACTTAAGGCTGTTGTTCAGATGGAAAACTTACAAGAAGCAATCAGGGCGGTGAATAGCCTCCATAGATACAAAATTGGCAGCAAGAAGATCCTGGTCTCACTTGCCACAGGACCTGCTAATAAATCACTCTCTTTACTGAGGTAAAAAAAAAAAAAACAACAAGCCATTTATTTCAAGAAATAACATTTTGGCCTAGAAACATTTTAGAAATATTAAAAATAGTTTTTATCACATTCCCAGCACTCTTTGATGATTACATATGCAATAACGCTGATTTTCAATCAATAGAAATAAGCTAGAAGTTAGAAGTAAGTTGGGAATAGCTGGTTAGAATAATTTGACTCGCTCAAGTCATCAATCAAAGGTGAGTTGTACCTTAAACTTGGCAGACACTTAGGAGTAAAATAATATGCCATGTATCCAGAACTGGTTCTAAAGACAGTAGCTGTCTGCAGTAAAAGTTTATAAGCCAAGAAAGTCTGAATATGCCTTCAAGTTTTAGTAGAAGGTAGATTCGTCTATAAAGGATAGATCTACAAAGCTCCAAACTCTCAACTTGCAGTTATACCCTGAATGTCAAATAGATGCCAAACACCAGAAGTCTACATTAGAACTGTCAGTCTTAGGAATCTGGTGATGATTTTATTCATAATATGCTTTGATTCTTTGGCTGCCTCTGTTTTGAGGGGGAACTACTAGAACAGAACTCACTCCAAGATAATCTGTGTGGACTTTCAGAGATCTTTTCTCTGATGTGTACTTCATCATTATTTAAAAATTTTTTTTCCTAGAATAAAAATTAAGTTTCATTGAAGAAAGTTTGGAAAAGTTCAGAAACATAGAATAAGCGGGGGGGAAGAATAATCAAGTGGCTCAAAGCCAGTCACTCAATTTTAAGTTTGGCTTTTCAGCACCTTTTTATTTTTCAAACCATGGTGGACATATCATATTCAGTTGTATGTCCTCAGCTGTGGAGTTTCCACTCCCATATCTCTAACATATGAGCCACATGGAGCATTCAGGCTCTTCTACCTTTTGCTCTGCATTAACAACATGTTTGTCTCAGTTAGTGTTTTTCTGATACATAGGTGTCAAAAGCCCTATGCTTGAGTCTGATAAAAACCTCAGTGTGTGACTTAATATTCTTTAATTGCCGTGTCCCTAAAGTCCTTTCTTTAAATTTTTCTGAAAAATAAATTCTGACATAGCAGAACTGGTAAAGTTATTTTGCATAGACAATTGTGTTAGTCAGTTTTATGAACTGTTTTTTAAATACAACTTGGAAATCATCTGTTGATTTCCAGTAGCATCTGTTCTCTAATTGATGAAAATTTTGTCTTACAGTGCAGAAACAATATCTGTTCTTCAGGATGCTCCTGCCTGCTGTCTGCCTCTTTTTACTCCATAGATACAAAATTGGCAGCAAGAAGATCCTGGTCTCACTTGCCACAGGACCTGCTAATAAATCACTCTCTTTACTGAGGTAAAAAAAAAAAAAACAACAAGCCATTTATTTCAAGAAATAACATTTTGGCCTAGAAACATTTTAGAAATATTAAAAATAGTTTTTATCACATTCCCAGCACTCTTTGATGATTACATATGCAATAACACTGATTTTCAATCAATAGAAATAAGCTAGAAGTTAGAAGTAAGTTGGGAATAGCTGGTTAGAATAATTTGACTCGCTCAAGTCATCAATCAAAGGTGAGTTGTACCTTAAACTTGGCAGACACTTAGGAGTAAAATAATATGCCATGTATCCAGAACTGGTTCTAAAGACAGTAGCTGTCTGCAGTAAAAGTTTATAAGCCAAGAAAGTCTGAATATGCCTTCAAGTTTTAGTAGAAGGTAGATTCGTCTATAAAGGATAGATCTACAAAGCTCCAAACTCTCAACTTGCAGTTATACCCTGAATGTCAAATAGATGCCAAACACCAGAAGTCTACATTAGAACTGTCAGTCTTAGGAATCTGGTGATGATTTTATTCATAATATGCTTTGATTCTTTGGCTGCCTCTGTTTTGAGGGGGAACTACTAGAACAGAACTCACTCCAAGATAATCTGTGTGGACTTTCAGAGATCTTTTCTCTGATGTGTACTTCATCATTATTTAAAAATTTTTTTTCCTAGAATAAAAATTAAGTTTCATTGAAGAAAGTTTGGAAAAGTTCAGAAACATAGAATAAGCGGGGGGGAAGAATAATCAAGTGGCTCAAAGCCAGTCACTCAATTTTAAGTTTGGCTTTTCAGCACCTTTTTATTTTTCAAACCATGGTGGACATATCATATTCAGTTGTATGTCCTCAGCTGTGGAGTTTCCACTCCCATATCTCTAACATATGAGCCACATGGAGCATTCAGGCTCTTCTACCTTTTGCTCTGCATTAACAACATGTTTGTCTCAGTTAGTGTTTTTCTGATACATAGGTGTCAAAAGCCCTATGCTTGAGTCTGATAAAAACCTCAGTGTGTGACTTAATATTCTTTAATTGCCGTGTCCCTAAAGTCCTTTCTTTAAATTTTTCTGAAAAATAAATTCTGACATAGCAGAACTGGTAAAGTTATTTTGCATAGACAATTGTGTTAGTTTTATGAACTGTTTTTTAAATACAACTTGGAAATCATCTGTTGATTTCCAGTAGCATCTGTTCTCTAATTGATGAAAATTTTGTCTTACAGTGCAGAAACAATATCTGTTCTTCAGGATGCTCCTGCCTGCTGTCTGCCTCTTTTTAAATTTACAGATATCTATGAGAAAAAGTAAGTTAGGTTAATTTTTTTTCATTGATCCAGTCAAAACTGATCAGTGGCTTCCGAAATTGCAGTAGTGATTAGGGATTGGCCAAAAACTGTGGTAGCAGCTCTTAAGGAACTTCCAGCCTGGTGGAGGACATGAGACAAAGACAGTGGTGTTGAGATTTCAATTTTGGTTTTAACATGCAGTTTAAAAACTTCTTGCATTTTTAGCACATTTAGACCTTAGTCCCCAAACTGCACTTTCATATTTTTCCAATTGATTCGTTTTCTTATTCATCAAGCAAGACATTTCTGAGCACCTTCTAGACTGTAAGCTCAAGAATGACAAGGACTGGGTCTGACCCAACACCATGTCTTAGTGAATAGTAGGTGCTCAGCAAGTATTAGTGTAATGAAAATCTGGAAGTGCAGAGCTGGGGAGACAAAACAACTTTGTCCTTGAGGAGTTTATGTCTGGAAGGGAAGGGAAAATACAAATTATTCCATAGAACAAAGAAAACTGTCGTGAAAGAGGAGGAGTAGGGAGGAAGAAACTTTTTAAGGGTGCAGGGGATGGAAAGAATAAGGGGCTTGCCCATTGTTGTGTGAATAAAGGGGGCCCTGGGGTATTGGAGGCATGGAGGAGTGGGGTGGGACCCACACTGGAGGCAGTGATGTCTGCGGTGGAACAAGCAGGGGAGGGAAGGAGGCTGAGGAGGGAGAGTGCCTCCCCAGGGCCAGTTCTGAGCAGATGCTGCCGGCACAGGTGGCACTGGAAACTGCAGAAGTTCCCATCACTGGTGAAATGAGCCTCAGGAACTAGTTTATATAGGGGACAAGGTAAAAATCTGTAGAGGTCAGTTTGATTTTGAGTTTTTTTGCTCTGGATGACTGAATGATGGTTGGGTGGTTAAGCCAGAAATAGAGAAATACAGAAAGCATGTCCTGGGGATACAGTGAGTTTCTGATCTTGGTTTTGGACATACTGGTTTTAGGGGGCTGTTGGAATATCTGGGTAGAGGTCAGGTGGTCCTCTGCACATTTGGAGGCTTCCTCAGGAAGAAAGTTGGCTCTGAAGACATGGCAGTTATTTGCCTGAATTTTGATCATGAAATACACAGGATTAGATGAGATCAGAGGAGAGGGAGGAGAAACAGAGAAAGGCAGAACTGGATGAAATGCGCCCAGGGACAGGAAGTAGGCGAGAAGCCAGGGATGAGGGTGTTACCAGGATGTGTGGGGATGGCCTGTAACATCAAGTGGCCTGAGGAAATGGTGTAAGCTGTGGGGAGGAGGAGGCTGCTGGTGACTAGACAGCAATCCCTACAGAGTCCTGTGGATAAAACCTTGGAGGGAACAGGCTGACAGACTGGACAGTGAAACAACAAACTCCTCAGAGACCAGCTGTTTTCACTCTAGGGAAGATGAGAGTAGAAGACAGCATGGAGGAGAATTTGCATCTACACACAGCATGAGTGAGGTGGGAAGAGAATGTGAGACTAGTTTTAGTAGAAGGACATCTAAGCATGTATATAGGGCACTGAGAAGAAACCACTGGAGCAGCTAACATTTAATGAGCACTTGCTGTGTGCCAAACTCCATACATAACCATGTTTAATTCTCACATGAACCCAGGTAGGTATTATCACTCCATTTTAGATTTGGGAAAACTGAGGCCCAGATTGTTTATGTAACTTGACTAAGGTCATCTGGGTTGAGTCAGGATATGAAATCAACTCTGTCTGCCTTCAGAGCCAGTGCCTTTAAGCTCTGAGTATAACAGATAAGTCAGGGGAATGATTGAGGAGCCCAGTCTCAGAGGAAGTGTGGGTCATGAGGCAGAGACATAGGTGAAAACAGAGGTGGCTGGAAAGGAGCATCCATCCTCTGAGGGAGTAGAGCAAAGATGGCAAGAGGTAGTAGGGATTTTCAACTTGGGGAGCCAAGTTGAAAGACGTCATATCAAATAGCTTTCCAGCTCAGAAAATGAGGTGAGGTCATTTATGTAAACGGGGGAGGGGTTGGGGAGTGGGTACCAAATGTTAGAATCCTATAGTGGGCCGTGGGCCACAGATGACTCAAAGGAGTGCCATGTATCACCAGTTCTACTGTGAATGGATTTATAGCAGTGTTATTCCAGTTTTACTTTTGAAGAGACAGGACCATTCTTAGGTATAGCCCTCTATTTAAATAGGACAGGTGTTTTTGTATCATCAAAAAAAACTTCTAGGTCAGCATCTCTGTTTTTCCTTGGTTTTAGGTTTGGACACAAGTTGAATGTGTCAGATTTATATAAGTTAACAGACACGGTTGCAATCCGTGAGCAAGGAAATGGGAGACTGGTGTGCCTCCTGCCTAGCAGCCAAGCCCGACAGAGCCCCTTGGGCTCTTCCCAGTCCCATGACGGCTCCTCAGCCACCTGCAGCCCAATTATATTTGAAGAGTTAGAATATCACGAGCCCATCTGCAGACAGCACTGTTCCAATAAGGATTTCAGGTATAATGCCTATTTCCCTTTAGAAACCATCTCTTTGTATAAGGTTGTGGAATATGTTAGAATTACCTTGTGAACGTTTTAGACAACCAAGAAATAGCGACTGTTTTGTTCTCTTTTCTGCAGTGAACATGAATTTGATCCAGACTCCTACAAGATTCCTTTTGTGATTCTGTCTCTGAAGATGTTTGCACCCCAAGTTCATAGTCTTCTGCAGACACACGAGGGCACTGTGCCTTTATTAAGGTGAACACGTTAAAGCCATTGAGATCCGATGCCTTATCAGTTCTCTTCTTTGTAGAAAGTATGCCCTGTGCCCACACCTCTTCCCCACCAAGTGTTATAGAATGCCTCATTCTCACATTTTTAGACGTACAAAGTATATCTGAAATGGGATCCATTCATTTACTATTTCAACAAGAAAATTTGCGTGTTGAATTTCGACACAAACATGAATAGTACAGTCTCTTCTCCACAGAGAGGTGATTATAAGTGCTGAGGTAGAAGTATGCACACAAGCCACAAGTGCACAACCTCAGTGGCTGTAGGTAGCAGAATTTGAGGGAGAAAAGTGTTCAAAAGGCCACTTAACCACACTGTGAGCTACATGGTAGACTCAATATAGGGGCCTAGACTAAAGACAAGGTTGCCTTACAGCCACTGATACATTAGAGCAGATAAATAAATAACTTGGAATGCAACTGCCTTATTTTTTTTTTTTTTACATATTAGATTTCATGGTTTTATTGTTACAGCATTCTTCTATTGGGAGTTTATGCTGGTGTGAAGTATGTAGTATGGACCTACCTTTGTCTTTTTTCCACATGGCTACCCAATTGTCCCAGTACAACGTATCTATTAGGGGAAAGGCAATGGGCAGAGATGTAGCTTTGCCATAGACTAAATTAGACCTTTTGATACCTGAAAGGGAATCATAATATATCTATTAGGGGAAAGGCAATGGGCAGAGATGTAGCTTTGCCATAGACTAAATTAGACCTTTTGATACCTGAAAGGGAATCATAATTAGAGAAGTTGAATTTACTCTTCTAATCAACAATGAAAGTAAAGTTACAAGATATACCCTAGACATAAAGCAACAGGGAAGAGAGATTTGAAAAATATACATGAAAGCACTGAATCCAACTGCCTTTTTTTTAATCCCCTGCTTGCTAGAAGATTGTCCAGGAATTTCTAGTACCATCAGAATGCATCAAAGAGGTAATGCCCCAGTTGATGGCCTTCCTGGGACCTTAATATTAACATTCAAACCCAGATCCTGGGCATTTAAACAAACTATTTATGAATGGATACAGTAAAATAAAAGCTGTTTGGTGGGTACTTTGCTTTTCCATTATTTTAATGAACTCTTCATTTTTCCACTTCAGCTTTCCAGATTGCTATGCTGCGGAGTTTGGTGAATTAGAAGTAGTGCAAGAAAACACAGGGGGTGTGCCCTTAGAGCACCTCATCACCTGTGTTCCAGGTGTAAACATTGCCACTGCACAGAATGGCGTCAAAGTAATTAAGTGGATTCACAACAAGCCCCCGCCTCCAAACACAGGTAGGTGTCAGGTTCAGTCCGTCTGAGCCCCCATCTACTATGAGAGGAGGCTATTGGCTTTTATCTTAAACAGCAGCACTATGGGCCAAGCTTAAAGCACCATGGGTGTCTTTGATCTTTTTTAAAACAGCTCTCTATAAAGTGCAGAAGGTTTGGCAGAACTAGACTTTTTGAAAGTATCAGCATAAATTATGTAAAATACTTAAAACCCAGATTTCACAGTTATAAATCTCTTTACCTAATTTTGTGAAGCTGTTTGGCTTATCAGTTGCCTGGCCTTTTAAAAAGTTTCAAGTATGTGAAGGAAATATCTCTTAATGCAGATTTACCTTTGAAATTCATTTTGGTCATCATTTCTGACTTTGATTTAACTCTAAATGCCAATGACCAGGAAATTTAAACCTAGATTTGGGTGAACTTCTGAGTTCTGGGCATCCCCTGAGTTGCAGGTGTCTGATTCTGCTACCTGTGGATAGCACTGTAAATTGTTGCCTTCATATCCACATTTCCTGCTCTTTGGCCCCCACCACTTCTTCCTATTCTTCTCCCACCTCCCCCTACAGGAAGAAAGGTAGGCTTAACAGCTGGCTCCCAGAGGAGAAATATTGGTACCAAAGCTTCTCACCCACCTGCTGTTGCCTTTACCCTCAGTCCTACCCCACTCATCCCATGCCTTATGCTGGCCCCTCCTTTCTCTCTCCTGTGTCATTAGCCTGCTAGTCCCACAAAGGTCTCCATCTGCTGATTGATACTTTTATAATTAAAACTTTTTCTTAATTATATGGACATACAAGATAAATTCAAAAACATGTTATTACTCAGGTTTGTGTCATGCCAGTTTTACATTATCACTCTCCATGGTTTCCTAGGCAACGTTTTTAGCTCCAGTGTGGGCTAATTAGGCTGTTGGGGGCTACCTGCTTGATGACCATTTATGACTTTGATTCTGAGGGAAAGTAGTTCCATGTGACCAAGTTACAAGTGGATCTTTGAAATACAACCAGTTACAAGCTGGAAACTTCTGCATGTTTTCACCTCTGCTTTAATGCTGTGATGACCTATGCTTTACATTGGCTACTGGACCTTGAGAGGTAGTAGGGAAGCATTTGCCAGCCCATAAAGAAGGTGGGTTAGCCTGCTGATTATGTGAGATCCGAGTTCAGAAGCTGAGACATAAAGCAGTTACTTGGTTTCATCTTCTTGGTCATGATGGAGCTGAAGCCAGAATGCAAAGTTAGTTACCTTTCTTTTAGCTGGTGAAATCGTGCCTGTTCTTTTTTTCTCCCCATGTACCTAGACCCTTGGCTTCTGCGCTCTAAAAGTCCTGTTGGTAACCCCCAGCTGATCCAGTTCAGTCGAGAAGTGATCGACTTACTGAAGAGCCAACCATCCTGTGTCATTCCAATTAGTAATTTCATCCCATCCTATCACCACCATTTTGCAAAGCAGTGCCGCGTATCAGACTATGGATATTCCAAGCTGATTGAATTGTTAGAAGCAGTGCCTCATGTGTTGCAGGTAAGAAATGCTCGGGGGTTATTTGTTTCAAGATAGGAATGTTTCTGCATGGCTTTGGCTATTTCAGCCAAAGAAACAGGACACCTGGTAACCCATTTCCTAAGAGGTCAGTTCAGAGCAGAATACCCTGTTAGGCTTTCTTCAGAGTACAGAAAACACACACAAGGTGGCTTCGCAGTTTTTCTGAAAGCTGTGTTTCCAGTGCAAAGGAACTCTGTAGAGCACCAGAGAGTGTTTTCCTTCTCTCTGAAGACTGGCTTCCTCCTAACAGCCTCTCCAGAATTGTTCACTATTACACGGAAGCCACCGTGAACATAGGCTTACCTTGCTTATAAATGAGTTAAAGACCATACTGAGTTGGACCCTAGTGTTGGTTCCTAAGAAGTCTTTGCCTATTAATTTACAGTGTTATAGTAGCGTTCCACTTGTAAAGCAGCTTCCCACTTGTAAAATGGTCTGGAAAACTTTAGCTATCTTTTATAGACAAAATTAGTTGCCTACACTGATAATATGCTTTTCATTTCTCTACTCCTGATTATTTGAGAAAAGGTGTGTAGGGCAAAAAAAAAAAAGAGGGTCCCAGACACTTGAGCAGTTGTTTATTTTTTTCCATTTTGTTGATCTACATGTGTTTCACAATGCAGGTGTCATACATAAAGGGAGTTGTTTTTTTGGGGGTGGTAGCAGAAGAGAGCCATCAACTAGAAAGTTGTTATCTGCCAGCATCTTATGATTATAAATAATCAAAATGTTTGATTTGCAGATCCTTGGAATGGGCTCCAAACGTTTGCTGACCCTTACCCACAGGGCCCAGGTGAAGCGCTTTACTCAGGATTTATTAAAACTTCTCAAATCTCAAGCCAGCAAACAGGTCATTGTGAGAGAATTCTCACAGGCTTATCATTGGTGAGTTGTTGAGATAGGGGGAAGAAAATGAAAGCAAATAATTTAAAATACTTCCCCCATATGTAAAGTAATTACCTAACTTGTCTATTTAGCATTTTTTGGGGAAAACTTACAGTTTATTTTAGCAGGTGATATTCCTCATTCCTTACCCATTTCCATGGTTAAATTCCAGGTGTTTCTCAAAGGATTGGAATGTCACTGAATATGGTGTTTGTGAGTTGATCGATATCATATCGGAGATTCCGGACACAACCATCTGCTTGTCCCAACAAGATAACGAAATGGTGATTTGTATCCCCAAAAGAGGTATGTTGACTTAAATGTGCTGGAGGGAAGTTGTCTACCGCAGTGGTTATTTTAACTTGGAGCCGTATAGGGGATGCGCCTTTCCCTCCTCTGTGGTTCTTGAGGGTTCCGTGGAAAGTACAGTGTGAAAACACCTGCTCTGCTGTGTAGTGGATCCTCCATTCTTCAGAGTAAGTGAAGCTACTTGTCAAGAAAGCAAGCAAGGTAGTTTTTCAGGATACCCTCTGGGGGAAAAAGGCATGACCAGCACTTTTCTTCAGTGCCTGCTAAGCCTTTCTGACTGTTCACCACGTGGTTACCAGCTGAAAACCAGTCACCACGCCTGCCACCTGTTGCTTTTTTCTTTCAACTGAGTTACTTTACTATGCACACTTGAGAAGGAGAGAAAAGGAAAGTGAATGTTTTGCATTTCCCACTTTTATAGTTCTGGTTGATGCCTGGGAGATAGAATAGAAAAAATTAAATCTGCCTGCTGTCATGTTCTCTTCACTGTTACTCATCAGTGATACATAAACTGTGTTCCTGCAGAACACTGATGTCCATGCAGCCATAGAATTACAAAGCTAATGTGAGTAATGTTAGTCTTCCCCAATTCTAATTTAAAAATTAGTGGAAACAAAATCTTAAGTTGAAGCATTTTGTCCTCTGTATTATTGTTAAACTTTTGGTGCCTGATACTCTTTTTTGCTGGCAATTTTAACTGAAGATCAGAAGAATAACCAAAAAGCATGTGAATATTCAGAGCTGTGATTTCACAAAAATAGATTCCACATTCCTTTCTCAAATACAGAGACCTGTATGTATATCATTTCACATATATGAAATGGGAGTAAGGAGGCAGAGACGAGAAAATACTTCTCACTTGTAAGATGAAATTACATAGGTATGTGTGTATTCACAGTATAATAACCGTGTCACAACTTCCTGGTGTTCTGCCTTTAATAAGCAAGTTTGAAAACCATCTGCAAAGAGAGAAATATGTTTGCTTTAGGTTGTGTGTGTGTGTTTGGAAGTCAAGGATGGTGTTTTGTAATCTGTGCATAGGACTAACAGTAATAATGTCAAACAAATGGGTGCAAGAAAATAGTAACTTGGTTTTTTTTTTAAAAGAACGTACCCAGGATGAAATAGAAAGGACAAAACAGTTCTCCAAGGATGTTGTTGATTTGCTGCGGCACCAACCCCATTTCCGGATGCCCTTTAATAAGTTCATCCCCTCCTACCATCACCACTTTGGCCGGCAGTGCAAACTCGCCTACTATGGGTTTACCAAACTACTTGAACTTTTTGAAGCCATACCTGATATTTTACAAGTGAGTGAAGAGATTCTAATTATCTATTTTTTCTGAACTATGTGTAAGAGGGGGATTTTTTTTTCTCTCAGTCCTATTTTGCTGGGAAATAGGGATTTATGATATAGGGTGACAATTTGAAGTATTTCAATCAGAGAAGCTATGTTGTTGGCTCACTAGTATTTTTAGGTAAATGTGCTCTTTCCTTCAATAAAGAAATCTGCAAACTTGTTTCAGGGTAATTACTGAAAAATGGTAACTAGTTTGATTTTTTTTAACTGAATACTCATTCATTAGCTCCATACTTTTCAAATCTCTTACATGAGAGGTGGGGATAACTAACAGGTGGAATGAAGGCTTTGTTCTTAATGTTAAACCAGATTTCTGTTGATTTTATTAATATTACTATTTTTGACTCCTGAAGTGCTTTTTAAAGATGTTTTAAAATGCTTGTGGTAAAGTACACATTACCTGATTCATCATTTTAAGTGTACAGTCCAGTAGTGTTAAATATATTCACACTGTTGTGCAGCCTATTTCTAGAACTTTATCTTGCAAAACTGAAAGTCTGTGTGCATTAAAGAACACTAAAGGGCTTTTTAGTTACTAATTGTATAGATTTCCATGCCACTGAAATCCATGCACAATCCTAACTTGTTCAGTCTCCCTTCCTGCTCCTCTGTTTTCCCAGGTGTTGGAATGTGGAGAAGAAAAAATCCTTACTTTGACAGAGGTGGAACGATTCAAAGCTCTAGCCGCTCAGTTTGTTAAACTCCTTCGGTCCCAAAAAGATAACTGCATATGGAAACAGGTTATGTGAAACAATTTAAACAACCTATTACATGTCATGTCCCTGACTCACTTCTCTTTATGCTCTTAATGGCTTCTAATAAGGGAGAGAGAGTGCATTTGCATGCATCCTGCACCATCTGCCTGGAGTGTCCTGCCCTCCTTGTAGGCTCTGCAGTACTTCTAGTCAATCTTTAAAGCTCATCCTAGAAACTAGCACTTCTTCAAGGAAGCCTCCTCCGCTGCTCATATAGTTATTCCCTCCTCTATGCTACTTCACCTTTTACTTTGCTAACTAAAATATCAATAATAATAGTTTTGAGTTATGGAGCACTTATGGTATCCCAGGTTTTGTGCCAAGTACTCTACCTGAATTAACTCATTTCAGCCTTGCAAGTAACCCTGTGGCACAGGAACTATTGATTTCTCCATTTTACAGATGGGGAAATTGAGATGCACAGAAGTAAAGTAACTTGCACAAGCAGAAAGAAATAGAGCCAGAACCAAACTTAGGCAGGTCTATACTATTGTATTTTATGGTCAATTTTTAAGATTTGTTACTACTAGCATCTCTCCACCAAGACAATGAACACTTTGAAAACATGGATTATCTCATTCATTTGTGGCTGCCTGGTGCCCACCACAGTGACTGGCATATTGTAAGTGATGGGTATTTTTGCTGAATAATTTAATTGCAGTGGAACACAAATAGAGATCCCTTGTATCTCCTTATCCCACCTTTTAATTGAAGGCCCATTCCTAAAATGCCTAAGGGTAAAGAGTACAGGAGAAAAAGAAAGAAGTCACCCCCTTCTTTCCTCTCTCCCCAAAGCCACTCTAGTTAATCTCTCTCCTCAACTACCCAAGCTTCCTGGCGGTTCATCATTTTAAATGTACAGTCCAGTAGTGTTAAATATGTTCACATTGTTGTGCAGCCAATTTCCAGTACTTTATCTTGTGAAACTGAAAGTCTGTGTCCATTAAAGAACACTAAAGGGCTTTTTAGTTACTAATTGTATAGATTTCCGTGCCACTGAAATCCGTGCACAATCCTAACTTGTTCAGTCTCCCTTCCTGCTCCTTTGTTTTCCCAGGTGTTGGAAAGTGGAGAAGAAAAAATCCTTACTTTGACAGAGGTGGAACAATTCAAAGCTCTAGCCGCTCAGTTTGTTAAACTCCTTCGGTCCCAAAAAGATAACTGCCTTATGATGACAGATCTGCTTAAAGAGTATGCTAAAACTTTTGGTTACACATTTCGTCTCCAAGACTACGACGTCAGCTCAATTTCAGCTTTAACACAGAAACTCTGCCATGTTGTAAAGGTAAACAGGTTTTTCCTCCACGGGCTGAAACTTGCAGTGGCATCGTCTTTATGGGGATGTGCACTTGGCCTTAGCGTTTCTGTGCTTGTTCCATGCACTGCTCACTGCTTCACAGCTTGCTGCGTGCATCTTCAGTGCCTGACTAGGTAATGGTGGCAGTTTAGGTTTTTGGTCTTGCTCTTCTGTGTTTATTGGTGGCCTTTCCTGAGTAGTGTCTTTCCAACTGATGAGGTCACTGTTGTATACCAGGGTGTTTCTTCTCATGTGTATCGAGCTCAGTGCTCCTGACCTGAAGTTGAATCCTTTTAAATGGATCTTTGTCACTGAAGATTTGGGGCAGCTGCAATCACAGATCTCCCTCCCAGACTGTGACCCACTTATGGAGCAGATTTAGGAGCATTAAAAAAGCACTCTCCAAACCAAAACAACAACAGCAACAATGAGAGAGGGAACAGAAAAAAGAAAAAAAAAAAAGGAAAAAACACTTGATTTTTTTTTGTCCTCAGTCACCGGTCCCAGGCACCCGCTCACTGGTCCTGCTGCCCTGCCTCCCTAGCAGCAGGGTCCCTGTCCCTTCAAGGCTTCCAAAAAGCACCCTCCCACTGGTCCCGCAGGGAAAAACCCACGATATTCTTTGTCCTCAGGCGCCGGTCCCGGGTACCCGCTCACCAGTCCCACCGCCCTGCCTCCCTAGCACCAGGGTCCGTGTCCCTTTAAGGCTTCCAAAAAGCACTCACCAAAAAGAGAGAAAAAAAGGGGAAAAACGCGATTTCCTCCGTCCTCAGGTGCTGGTCTCAGGCACCCGTCCACCGGTCCTGCAGGGAAAAATGCGGGATATTCTTTGTTCTCAGGCGCCGGTCCCAGGCACCCTCTCACCAGTCCCACCGCCCTGCCTCCCTAGCAGCAGGGTCCCTGTCCCTTTCAGGCTTCCAAAAAGCCCTCGCCAAAAAGAGGAAAAAAAAGGGGGAAAAACGCGCAATTTCCTCCGTCCTCAAGTGCCGGTCTCAGGCACCCGCCCACCGGTCCTGCAGGGAAAAACGCAGGATATTCTTTGTCCTCAGGCACCAGTCCCTGGCACCCGCTCACCAGTCCTGCCGCCCTGCCTCCCTAGCATCGGGGTCCCTGTCCCTTTAAGGCTTCCAAAAAGCAGTCGCCGAAAAGAGGAAATAAAAGGGGAAAAATGCGCGATTTCCTCCATACTCAAGTGCTGGTCCCAGGCACCCGCTCACCGGTCCCGCCACCCTGCCTCCCTAGCAACGGGGTCCCTGTCCCTTTAAGGCTTCCAAAGAGCACTCGCCCAAAAAAAAAAACAAAAACGCTCCGGTTTCTTTCCACCCGCCGGGAGCCGGCGGGAGGGGCGCTCGGGTCCCGCCGGGCCGGGGCTTGTATCTTACCCCCTTCGCAAGGCGCTGGATTCTTGCAGGTGTGGATGTGGTCTGGATGTTGTCCTATGTCCTGTGGTCTCTATTTTAGGAAGATTTTTCTTTTTTATATTTTCATAGCTCTATGTATTTTTGGGAGGAGATTTCCACTGCTCTGCTCACGCCGCCATCTTGGCTCCGCCTCCACCAAGTAACATTTTTTATAGGTATAGATAAGATCATTCTAAATTCCATATGGACCTAAAATAGTTACAATGATTTTTTTAAAAGAATAAAGAGGGAGGAATCAGTCTACCCAATATGTAGACTTTGTACCTACAGGGATCAAGACTGTGTGGTATTGGTAAAGGGATGGAAAGTTCTAGTGAATTGTACTGTTTTAGAAATAATGCATATTCTTGTACATCCTGGACTCCTTACATAAGCCAAGTATGGACTGAAGAAACAGCATTTCCAATGCAGAAGGAAAGATGGGCTAAGAGCTTAGATGTGGTATGTGGATCCTCTAAGCAATGGTTCTCAATAGATAGTCAAAGCCAGTTTTGATTATACTCTGTTTTCTCCTCACTCACATCCTTGGCTTCACTTTAGAACCACATTATAGATTCAGAAGAGTGTTGTTCAGATTGAGAGCTGGAACCCTAGGATAGACTTTCTCAAAGTATAGGGGGTAGATCATTGGCAACAGAATGACTTAGGGTGCTTCTTTGAAAAGCAGATTCTGGGCTTCACACCAGGTCTTCTGAGACAGAATATCTGGAATGGGAGCCCAGGTATCCGCATCATTCATTCATTAATTCCTTGAGTGATCCTCTTGTAGACTGACATTTGAGGACACTGCTTAGAAACTGGGAAGTTGAAGAAGTTGTAAGTTTCCACACAGCTGTAATTATGGAAACAGGTTATGTGAAACAATTTAAACAACCTATTACATGTCATGTCCCTGACTCACTTCTCTTTATGCTCTTAATGGCTTCTAATAAGGGAGAGAGAGTGCATTTGCATGCATCCTGCACCATCTGCCTGGAGTGTCCTGCCCTCCTTGTAGGCTCTGCAGTACTTCTAGTCAATCTTTAAAGCTCATCCTAGAAACTAGCACTTCTTCAAGGAAGCCTCCTCCGCTGCTCATATAGTTATTCCCTCCTCTATGCTACTTCACCTTTTACTTTGCTAACTAAAATATCAATAATAATAGTTTTGAGTTATGGAGCACTTATGGTATCCCAGGTTTTGTGCCAAGTACTCTACCTGAATTAACTCATTTCAGCCTTGCAAGTAACCCTGTGGCACAGGAACTATTGATTTCTCCATTTTACAGATGGGGAAATTGAGATGCACAGAAGTAAAGTAACTTGCACAAGCAGAAAGAAATGGAGCCAGAACCAAACTTAGGCAGGTCTATACTATTGTATTTTATGGTCAATTTTTAAGATTTGTTACTACTAGCATCTCTCCACCAAGACAATGAACACTTTGAAAACATGGATTATCTCATTCATTTGTGGCTGCCTGGTGCCCACCACAGTGACTGGCATATTGTAAGTGATGGGTATTTTTGCTGAATAATTTAATTGCAGTGGAACACAAATAGAGATCCCTTGTATCTCCTTATCCCACCTTTTAATTGAAGGCCCATTCCTAAAATGCCTAAGGGTAAAGAGTACAGGAGAAAAAGAAAGAAGTCACCCCCTTCTTTCCTCTCTCCCCAAAGCCACTCTAGTTAATCTCTCTCCTCAACTACCCAAGCTTCCTGGCGGTTCATCATTTTAAATGTACAGTCCAGTAGTGTTAAATATGTTCACATTGTTGTGCAGCCAATTTCCAGTACTTTATCTTGTGAAACTGAAAGTCTGTGTCCATTAAAGAACACTAAAGGGCTTTTTAGTTACTAATTGTATAGATTTCCGTGCCACTGAAATCCGTGCACAATCCTAACTTGTTCAGTCTCCCTTCCTGCTCCTTTGTTTTCCCAGGTGTTGGAATGTGGAGAAGAAAAAATCCTTACTTTGACAGAGGTGGAACAATTCAAAGCTCTAGCCGCTCAGTTTGTTAAACTCCTTCAGTCCCAAAAAGATAACTGCCTTATGATGACAGATCTGCTTAAAGAGTATGCTAAAACTTTTGGTTACACATTTCGTCTCCAAGACTACGACGTCAGCTCAATTTCAGCTTTAACACAGAAACTCTGCCATGTTGTAAAGGTAAACAGGTTTTTCCTCCACGGGCTGAAACTTGCAGTGGCATTGTCTTTATGGGGATGTGCACTTGGCCTTAGTGTTTCTGTGCTTGTTCCATGCACTGCTCACTGCTTCACAGCTTGCTGTGTGCATCTTCAGTGCCTGACCAGGTAATGGTGGCAGTTTAGGTTTTTGGTCTTGCTCTTGTGTGTTTATTGGTGGCCTTTCCAGAGTAGTGTCTTTCCAACTGATGAGGTCACTGTTGTATTCCAGGGTGTTTCTTCTCAGGTGTATCAACCTCAGTGCTCCTGACCTGAAGTTGAATCCTTTTAAATGGATCTTTGTCACTGAAGATTTGGGGCAGCTGCAATCACAGATCTCCCTCCCAGACTGTGACCCACTTATGGAGCAGATTTAGGAGCATTGCCTTTGTTGCTGGTGACCCTGGGTGAGAGAGGGTAACTTCCTCTTCTTCCCTACCCTGGACTGAACTGGCCCTCCCAGTGCTCAGTAGAGCACATGGGCAGATTGCAGGCTGCCTCTACCACTGGGCCAGGAACGCTCACTACAAGAAGAGATGGAAAGAATGTACAACGTGGGGACAGCCGCCACTACAGGTCAGGAAGGAATGTGTGTGTGCGCTGTTTGGTTAGAGGAGGAAGATCCTTCACGGGAGACAGGAGCTGCTGGGAGAGAGGAGGAGCAACACTGGAGTGTGGGACATGAGAGCCAAGGAGGAGAAGGGGTCAGCAGCTTCAGAGCTTCTGAGGGGCAAGCGAGATGGGGGTGAGCGTGACCTTCGACCTGGCTAAGTGGAGGTACTTGGTGTCACTGGCCAGAGTGGGGCTGACTTCAGAGTGATACAGGGACCAAACCACACGGAGAGGGTTGAGGCTTGAGGATATGGTGGCAAGAAAATGACACCAGGTAACCCAGATGATGTTTTGGTTTACCTGTGAAGGAGGAGCATGAGGGGGTGGCATCTGGAGACCACAGGACTGAGTGAGCGTGGAGGGTTTTGGTGGGGTTTTTTCCCCCAGTTGGAGAGACTTGAGCATGTTTGAGAGTCACTGAAAAGGATCTACTACTTGAGAGAGAAGAGAAATATACAAAGGGGGAAAGGATGGCGGGCGAGTGTCCCAAGCAGGCAGGAGATGTGGGAATTGGCATTCGGTGGAAGATGGACAGCTCTGATACTAATCTTCTGATAAAAAGAAAGGGGGATAGGGTAGATGCACATCTAGGGACGTTTGATGTTTGTCCCCAGGAGGAGGAGGGAGTTGCCCTCCAAGAGCTAGTTTTCTGTCAAGATGGGGGCTGCTTAGGACGGATAGGATTCAAGATGGAAGTGCATGGACATGGTCTGCAGTTGTCATTGTGAGTGGGAGAGTGACCTGGTCAGGAGATGAGGTCGGGATGCTGGGAGGGGGAGCATGCCCTG